TAGGTTAGGTAAATTTAGGCTGAATGGCAGAAACAGGTCTGTAACGATTGGAGCCATTCAAAAATTAAATGAGTTGCATCAAGAGTCACTGAGTTTTCTGTCACTTGAGTAAAGATACTCAGTTGTTGGGTTATGCTATAGAAGGAATTCTTTTTCAAGCATGGATTGGACTAGATGGACACAGGTCTTTTCCAACTCTCAAATTCTGTGATTCCATAATTCTAAACCAAACTTCCTATGATTTATTAACCTTTCTCTAATGACCTTCACAGGGGTCAGACCAACCATTATTCCAACAATTCCTTAAATCTTTACTCTTTACAGGCACTGACCCACCCAAAGACCTGCCTCCCTTTCCATCCTGAACTTGTCTATGGATTTCATTTTTGCTCAAACACATGCATTGGCACCCCTCAAATATTTAGTTTCTATTTGCAGACTCAAATATTTTAGTCTATATTCAGAACCATGAACCCAGTGCAAAGCCTAAATTAAAATCAGAATGGGAAGAAAAAAATAAAAAGATTAGCTATAGGAAAAGACATATTTAGAATGAGACTATTTGAGGATTGGTACTTTCCTTTTTCCAGAACAGTCTCTGCCTATACCATTCCACCCAGAGGGGCATCTCATTCAATCGACCCTTATATTATGTCTCTGCTATTTGAAAGATTCCTAGAGAAGAATCTACCCTCAGTGCAAATATTACAATATTTCCCTTAGGGAACCTTATCACTAAATCAGTTAAACACCTTTTTCATAGACATGGAGTTGTGAAATAAATCTTTGTAGTGTACAGGAAGCCTCTTTCCCTTCAAAAGTGAGAATCCACTGTAAACATACCTTCTTTATCCTATGGTCTTTTGTATCCATAATGACAGAAGTGTTTTGGTGCTGAGATCCAAATCTTGTATAGGCTATGTATGCTTTTCAGAACCAGCCGAAAGTTGGTATCTATATTTGCATATTATTGCATGGTAGGAAAACAGCAACTCGCATACAATATAGGGTTTGATGGTTTATAAACCATCATCAGCCAACATCATTTGAGATATGTGGATTTCCTCACAATGGCCCAGTGGGGATTAGTGCAAGTATCACCATCACCAGTTGAGAGATGAAGAAACTGAATTTCAAAGAGGTTAAGTGATTGAACCACGGTCATACAACTAGTATCCATGTACCCGAAAGATTTAAATCCAGGTCTCATAACTCCAAATCTAGCATTTACAGGCTCTTGGACGTAGAGCTAGAAGGGACCCTAGACGTCATTTAGTCTACTTTTGGGGGCAGCTAGGCGAGGCAATGGATATAATGCCACGCCTGGAGTCAGGAAAACCTAAATTCAAATCTGGTCTCAGACACTTACTAGCTATGGGACTCTGGGCAAGTCACTCAACTATTTGCCTCAATTTCCTCATCTGTAAAATGTGCTGGAGAAGGAAATGGCCAATATCTTTGCCAAGAAAACCCCAAATGGGGTCACAAAGAGTCAGGCACGACTGAAAATTACTAAATAACAATGAACAATATTCATGACATATACATATTATATTTCTATATGTTACATATACATTCATACACACAGGGTTTTTTGGTGGTTGTTATTTGGTCCACACCTCTGATTTCCTCTGTGTAAAGAAATCCTAAGGCAGAAAGCTCTTTTGCCTACTCAGATCAGAAACTCACCTATAGCTTAGAATCTTAGGGAGTTGCCCAGCTCAGGTGACTTGCCTGTGATCCCCCAGAGAATACTGTCAGAGGCAGCTATTGCCTCATGTGTTCTGGACTCTAAGACCAGCCCAATATCCACTGTGCTACTTTGCTTTTCCTTTGTTCAGTAACGTACTAGAAAAAAGAGGAGTCATTACAGGCCACACTAAAGTTTTACAAAAGCCTTATGTGGAGGGAAAGTACAATTTATATTCAGGCCAATACTCCTACAACATGGTTTTTAGCCATCAAGCTATCATTTGGAAATAAGCTGCCCAGCAGAGGCAAAGTCATAGCCTGTGAAATTGTTTCCATATTTTGAAGAATTAATTCTGATGTCAGGTAAAAGGGCTTAATTTAAACATCAGAGGAAATTGTCATACTATTTCCAAAAAAGATTCCAGTAAATTCAAATCCATATTAAGTTAGGAATTAAAAAAACAACAATTTTAAAGCATATGTAGCCTTATAAACAAAAATTATGGCTCCTGGCCAGTGGAACTAATTTCAGAAAGAGTTCCCTTACTCTTTGTCAAATACAAAAGGAACAGGTTTCCTGAGCTGCCCCTTTCTCTTACTAAAGTGCAAAGACTACACAATGTCTATTCTTACAAAAATAGAATACCCGACAGGCCATTTCCCTTGTGACCCTCAATGGACTTTTAACTTTCTCTCATTTCAGCTAGTCACATGAACTGTGTGATTATCATTAAGTGGTTAACTCGTTTAAGTTTAGTTGAAATGTTGAAATGCAACTGAAATGTTTTGCTAGAATTTTAAAAGGTTGCTGAGAACACTCATAAATATCCTTTCTTTAGCTGGCAGAACCTGACAGGTAAAGTCTATCACCTCAAAGGTTGCTCTGACTTCCAGGTCGGTTGAAGAGAAAGGCAACAGGATGTAGAGTTAGATGAGGTCTCTGAACTCACATAAACAGCTGCTGTTCAGTTGTGTCCAACTCTTCATGACCCCATTTGAGGATTTCTTGGCAAAGTTATTGGAGTGATTTCCCATTTCTTTCTCCAGCTCCTTTTACAGATGAGGAAACTGGAGCAAACAAGGTCAAGTGACTTGCCCGGGGTCACACAGCTAGTTTGTCTGAAGCCAGAATTGAATTTAGGAAGAGTCTCCTTGACTCCAGGTCCAGCACTCTATCTGCTATACCACCTAGCTGACCCAAGTAGACAAATGGTATAATAATAATAGCTAACATTAACACAGTGCTTTAAGGTTTGCAAAGTTCTGTATATTATCTCATCTTAAGTCACCACAATCCAGTGAAGTAGGTACTAATATTATCCCCATTTTGCAGTTAAGGAAACTGAGACACTGATTAATGATTTTGCCAAGGATCATAAAGCTAGTAATTATGTAAGGTGGGATTTGAATTCAGGTCTTTCTGACTCTAAATCTAGTGCTCTAGCCACTGTGATACTTACCTGTCTACAACAGAATGAGGGCTAGATTTGGAGTTGGAGAACCTGGTTTCAAATTCCAGCTCTTATTCTTCTAATCTGTATGACCTTGAGAAGTCACTTAAGCGAGGCCTTTCTGAGCCTCAATTTTCTCATCTGTAAAAGATGAGGTTGAACTAGGTGACCACTAAGTTTCCTGCCAGTTCTATATGCACAATTAAGGGTCCCTCTTAGTGTGTCTCCCAGGGAGTAATTTGCTCATGACTATAATGTAGTTTAATAAAAAATAATAACTTTCTACTAAATGGAGTAAGTGTGGCAAAGCAAAACAAAAAAAAAATGATCAAAGAAAAGTATGCTGAAAAGAAAACGTATTTATTATGAAAGAAATGAGGCACTTGCCAATGCCATTGACATGGTCAAGTCAAGTCTTTCCTTGAGATCATTGTTACATTCTTCTCCCATACAAAATATAATTTTTTTCTTTGATTCACAGTGTACGTCCAGGAAGATTATAATATAAATAATTACATTCAAAAGCAATTTAGCCTTATCACAATCTTATCCTCCAGGTATAAGTAACATTCTAAGCTGCAAAAGACTGAAAGATTGATTTCAGTTTAACTATCAATTAATAAAGCGATAATTTTTTATTGATCACCCCCAATGTGGAAGGCACTATGAAAAGAACTGTAAGGTATAGAAAAAAGCTGCAATCTATCACCAAGTCAATTTATTTAGACTAGTAACATTTACAAATAATCTTAGGGAAAAGAATACACATTCATTAAGGGTCTACTATGTGCTGGGCATTGTGCTAAGTGTTTTAGAGATATTATCTCATTTGAGCTTCACAACAATTTTATGAAATAGGTGCTGTTATTATACTCATTTTACAGACGAGGAAACTGAAGCAAAGAGGTTAAGTGACTTGCCTAGGGTTAAATAAATGTCTGAAGCAGCATTTGAACTCAGGTCTTTCTGATTCCAATCGAGCACTCTATCCTTTGTGGCACCTAGCTGCTATATGAAATATATTCATATAATTTAGTACTGGATGCATTTTAAGTTCTGAATACATTAATAATTATAATCAATGTAACAGTACAAGTGCTACATAAGTCCAGAATAATATCACCCAAATCAACATTCCCATCCTTTTTGGGGGGGGGAATGGGGCAGGAGAGAGGAGAGAGAAGCAGGGATTGGTTCAGATCTAGGATTTCAATTGTACAGGAAACTTCCAGAATGGAAATTCCCTTCACTGATGCAGACAGACTTGTAGCCTAAGAAAGCTGTCTGGGGAACTGAAAGGATAAGGCATTGGTTCATGGTCACACAGCTATTATGTGTCAGAGGCAAGATGTAAACCCAGGTTTTGCTGAATCCAAGGTCAGGCCTCCATATTATACCACACAGCCTTTAATACTTTTTCATTACTTGACAGTTATTCAAAATGCAACTTGAGATAAGTTTCTTTCATAACAATATTTTGTGGGTTTTTCCAGAGAATTTAAGTAAAAAAATTCCAATGTAAATCAATACCACATCATGTTATACATAAAAAAAACTGCTTTTAGAAGTTGTTTTTTAATATTTTCACTAAAACACTTCCAGTTCTCTGTCAAACTAGTACTGCACTTATATTTACTTTGTCCATTGCTGAGACACCAATTTAATAAACAATAATTTGATGAATAATTAATTAGACTTAATTATCGATAAAAACAAAAATTTTACCTTGTTACACATAGTTAATTAAGATATCCTGATATGTAGTACATTAGCTTAGCAGTACAGCAACGAAGGCTTTAGGACACCTCAGGAATCTGTCTGCTTAGGTACTGATACAGTTTTTAGATAAAATAGCTTTTACTTTCTGCATTTATATTCCACCCGGCATGGTGACAATGGCTTCTGGATACCCATTAACTGGTTAAAATCCTGAAAACAGAAAATGAGTAGAATTATTTAAACAACTCATGAAACAAGTAATTCAATTAAGCCTAACTTTATTTGCTTTCTATTTTCTTAGAAGGTATACATTTAGATCCCAGAGCTTTTGGCTTGTCTGTCTCCTTTTTTTTTAATTCCAACATCAATGTCAGGCTGATTTTGGCAATGGTGGGGGATAGGATGAGTCATGATTTAGACTGCACCTCTTGGGGCCCAGGTGGACAATTTAATGTATGGCTGGGGTCAGTCCTCTGGTTTATGGGTCTCTTTAAGTTAAGTTGTCTGACCCTCATAAGAAAGACATACGGTCTTCTCTTTCTCTCTCTCTCTGCCCTCCCAATCTTTTTCTCTCTTGTTCTTGCTCTTTTGCTTTCATTCAGGGTTCGACAGCTAGATAGGTCTACAGATAGATAATAGGCAGTTTTCTCCCTCGCTCTTCTCTTTTGGTAAGATTTATATGAGGACTTCAGGAAAAAGCATTTTTTTTAAAACCACCTCTGACTAGATATACTCTCTTCCTGGCCAAGAGTCTATCATTCCTAAATATTGAGCCTTAGTCCAGATATCTAACTCTCTTCTTCTTAAGCAGCTATATTCACTTTAATAAGTGAGATTTTTACCTTTGGTTGGAAGTGGAAGGGAAAATACCACCTATGCCCTATGGGTACTCAGTTTTTTTTTGACAAAGACTTTACAATCTTTATAATTAACATTAATGACCTTTGGTTCACCTCACATATTCCATTATCATGAGTCTGACTTCTCTGATCCACCACTCATATGCTTTTTTTGCACCAGATAATTTTATCATGTATGTTCTCTCCTTTTCCCATTCCCCAAATGACATTTCTCTATGCTATTATCATCCCATCAGGTATCACCTTTGGTATAGGAGAGCCTAAGTTTGCACAGGCATGTACTATACCTCTTTATAAGCTAGGTAACAGACAATCTAATAAACTAAACTGTGCTAAGAAGAAACAATTAGAGGTTTTCCTGGTAACATATACAGGTACATTTTAAATGTGGCCTTCAAAGGACAACCATCCAAGTTAGACTTGTTGATAATTCCAGTGGTTGGAATTTCAGACCCTTTTAGACAAGGAAGCAGACTTGTTTTGGCAACAGGGGCTTTCTTAGTGCCCCTTACGTCACATGGGTAACTTGCCTATGTAAAAGTTGGTTCTGTACCTAATGCTTCCAATAAAACTGTTTGTAGCTGAAAACCCATCAGTGTACTTGGAAGTCAATGTTATTTTAAGGCTAGTAGGGTTATTTTCGATTGCTAGGTACCTTCTAATGCCATTCAACAAGTATTTATTAAGTACTAGCTATGTGTAAAGCATTGTAAAGGATTAAAGAAACACAAAGAAAAAAATGAAACTGCTACTTTCCTCGAGGAGTTTATATTTTACTGAAGAAAAACAACATTTACACAGATAACATTAGGACCAACCATGTGATTTCATTGGTATAGTGATTCCCTGGATGAGGAAACTTATCAGCAATGATTCTATAATTAGTCTTAGAGAATTGCCTAGAAAACTGAGAGCTTAAGTGATTTGTCCAGGATTATATACATTCCTATGGGCCAGAAGCAAGACTAGAACCTGGATTTCTTTTGGTTTCAAAGCTGGCTCTCTATACCCTCCTGTCTCTGTATACAGATAAGTAAAAGTAACTTTGGGGGTGGGATGGAAGACCACTAATAACTGAGGAAGAGGAGAGAGAATGAGGAAAGATCACACAATCTCTTTTGGGAGGTGGTACTTGAGCTGAGCCTGGGAGGTAGGGATCCTCCATCCCCTTTTTTTCTACTGTATTCCGTGTTCATACACATACACTTTTGGGAGAGCCAGAGCACTTGCCTGGGTTCTCTGGACAGACACTCAAGTATGAGGCTTTGCAAGTTGGTCAGTGAATTCATGATAGGGATACTTAGTGCACACACAGGTGTGGGGTTAGGTCGCAAATGGTTTTGAAGATGGCATTAAAGGTAGTTTTAACAAAGTTTCCCAGAGCGACAGAGCAGCCCCTAGAATAATTGAACGCTCATCAATTATGGTCATCCCTGGTGGCTTCTAAAACACAGAATCTGAGACAATGCCAATATCTCTAGGGGCAGATAGAGATCAGGTCCACCAGAACTCACACCGATGCCCAAAGATTAGATTATGGTCTAGGCCACTTTGGATGATGGCTGATGGCCTTGGAGGGCACTCCATAGAGCTTGTCACATATTCCCCCAGGAGCCATGCCTCACGGGAATGGAGGACAGCTTGGCCTGGAGGATGTGACCATAGACAGCTGTAGCCACTTCCTTGAAACTCTGACACTAACATGGTTATTGTAATTGCTGATGACCAGAAAAGCCTTGAACCTGGTATGTTAATCAGTTCTAGTCTATTTCTGAATAGGAATGATATTCAGGGCCTCATTATTCAGTGAGGGCCCTAGGAAGAAGTTTATGATCTCAGAATCCTTGATGGGAAGAGAGAAAAGCCCCTTTTCAAGGCTTAATCTTTGAGTTCATGCCCTAATTCATGGCCGTGACCTTGGCCCCCACTACTGAACAAGAGAGCTTGGCCTTCAGCTCAGTAAAACCATAACAGCATACACATTAACTCTAATAACAGGATAGGCTGTGTGGTGTACTGTCTAGGGAACTGGCCTTAGAAGGAAGGAAGGAAATAAACATTTATTAAACACCTATTATGTACCAGACATTGTGACATACACTTTACAATTATTATCTTATTTTGTCCTCACAACAACCTAGGGAGGTAGAAGCTATTAGTATCCTCATTTTATAATTGAGAAAACTCAGACAAATAGAGGTTAAGTGACTTGTCTAGGAGTCACTCAGCTAGTATCTGAGGCCAGATTTGAACTCAGGTCTTCCTGACTCCTGGTCCAGCACTTTATCCACTGTACCACTTGAGGAACCTTTAGAGCCAAGAAGGCCTGGGTTCAACTCTTATCTCTGAAACACATAGGCTTTGTGACCCTGGGCAAGTCTCTTAGACTCTATTAGAGGTGGGGAACCTGCAGCATGGAGTCCACATATGCCCTCTAGGTCCTCAAGTATGGCCCTTTGACTGAGTTCAAGTTTCATAGAACAAATTCTTTTATTAAGGGGATTTGTTCTGTGGAGCTTGGATTCAGTAACTTTCTAAGACTCCAAACTGGAGAGAAAGTGAAGACATGCAATAGTAGAGGAAATGCCCTTACCCAGAAGCTCCCTTTACTAATAATATCAGAAGTCCAATCTCTATCCCCATGACAGTAGTTCAAAATAATAATAATTGTTAACAACTATTGCATTTCAAAGTTTATGAAACATTTGACAATTATCTCATTTGATCTTAAAACAACACTGTAAGGTAGGTGCTATTATTATCTGCATTCTATAAATAAAGAAATTGAGGTTAAGAGAAATTAAGTATCTTTCCTAGAGCCAAACAGCTACTGTCTGAGGCAAGATCTGAAATCAAGTTTTCATGATTCCAAATGGACACTATTCACTCTACCCCCTTGTTTCAAAAAGAAAACAACGGTGAACAACACTATTAAAATGTGCCTACATATTGGAAGGAGACACAGATAAAATGTATTATGTCTTGTTTGTCATTTAATTAGTTTTTATTATTTTATTTGTTTAAATTGTGCCAGTAATATTTTCCCCCTTTCCATCTGATTAACATGTAAATAGTCTAGATTTGGGGGATTTGGTTAGAGATTTATTCCACAGTTGGTTTGAAAGTTGATTAACTAATATTTGTTATAAATGTTGCATTTGTGGTGGTAATAAGACATTTTAAAATAAATAAAAAACCTAAAAACTGGAATTTTTACCTGTTTTGGAAAAGGATCTAGCAGATTAAATTGATACTTATAAAATACTAAAGCAACATAGGTTTCAATCTCCAGTAGAGTGAGCCACCTAAAAGGAAAAGACAGCAATATAGTCAGTATAATGTGAGGCATATAAGTCATAAAAAGTGAGTATCTAGAAAACATATAAACATGTGTTACATTTTTTCTTCCATCTTCCTCAGTATAAACTTTCATCAGTGAGGGAAAAGCAGTAAACAATTTAATATTTATATGCTCCATTAAATATATGAATGACCTGGTCTGAGGTCAGAGAACTAGATTTTTTATTTGTCCCCAAAAACCATTTGGAAAATATTCTAGGTTAATCAGGATCTGAGAGAAGGCAGGGCATAGTGGAGAGGGGGCTGGCTTTGGAATCAGTAGACCTGTGTTCAGGTCCTGGTTCTAGTGTAGTATTACTTATATGACAGTGAGCAAGTCACAACTAATCAGTGCCCAAAGGCAAATGTCTAAATTTAGACATTGCTGGTCTGCATCTGTGGAAGAAGTTTCCACACTGGGAATTCCATACACTAATGAAATCATGAATCTAGATTTCCCCTTTAACATGCAAAAAAAAAAATTCAAAAGCTTGAGAAATCTAACTATTATTATGATCCAGATGGAAACTATTTCAATTTAACATACTCTTCATATTGCAAATGTAGTCCTATATAATAATAAACACTGAAGACAATGTGTTTTGTCCCATCATAAAATTTGCAGCTGGAAAAAACATTTGGATCTCATCTAGTGTAACCCACTTGTTTTATAGATGAGAAGGGAAGACCCAGAAAGTGCAAGGTGGGATTTGAACTCAAATCCTTTTCCTCCAAAACCCATGTTCTTACTACTACATTACTATTGTTTCCCAAATCCTAGAAAATAAGACCTTTCCAGTCTAGTTAATGATGAGATCTAAATCAAGCAGCTCCAGGACAAAGAATTCTTACTTATTCCTCTTAACTCTCAGAATTTCTCCTGACTACGGTGTGTTAAAATTATTCTTACTAACAATTTGCCATAAAACATGCTATGTCGAATTTTACAGAAAACGGATAAAGGTCATTGGAGGCTTTTATGTATTTCACTTCTTGTGAGATAATTTGCCATTTTCCTTGGAGTTGGCACCTAGCAGAGCTTTATTGAGTGAAGGAACAGCTCATTTCAACTGCAACAATCACAGAATCAGGTTAAGTTTCACTATAAAATACACAGTTCAACCCTCCCATTTTATAGGACACTGAGGTCCTTAGTGACTAGACTAAGACAAGTATGTCTTCAGCACCTCCTTGTTGTTCAACTATTTCAGTTGAGTCCAACTCTCTGCGACCCCATTTGGGGTTTTCTTGGCAAAGATACTGGAGTGGTTTGCCATTTCCTTCTCAGATAAGAAAATTGAGGTAAACAGGGTTAAGTGACTTGCCCAGGGTCACACAACTAGTAAATGTCACGATACAGCCATGATTATGACTCTCAGTCACCTACATGACCAATTTTATTTATTCATTATTTATATATTTACTGGTTTTTTTGTTTGTTTTAGCATTAAGTCATCTCTAAACATCAAGCAGTTTTTAGATCTCATGGTGATATCAATGTATCAACCTATAATCATCCAGCAAACAAACCCCTTTCAGTTTCAACTGGCAATGTGGAAGAATCATTGGATTTGGAAACAGTGGAGCGGGAAGGACTTCAGTTCTAAAACACACTATCCTCTGTGACTCTCTGGGCTTTGATTTCCTCAAATGCAAAATGAGGGTGTTGATTGACTTGATCTCTAAGTGCCCTTCTGAATCTGAAATTCTATTATTCTTGAAAATTATGTAAAGCTGGAGTGATAGAATCTCGACAAGCTAGAACATCGGAATGAAATCTAAGAAGATGAAATCTGAAAGGATTAATATAATGTTTTACCCTTGAGTTACAAAAAAAAAAGAATCCCCAAAAAATAAAAAACAAAAAAATTTCACAAACACAAGACATTGGAGGCATTCAGTGGTCTGTCAGAAGATCTGGGGATTTTAGTGTTACATTATTCCTGAATATAGGGTTCTATCCGTATCTATGAAAAAGATATTTTGTTGAGCAATTAATAATGTAACCAAGATTGAAAGGAGAGATGTATACACTATTTATGGGCATTTATGGGCATCTTTAAAGACTTTTAGAAGCACTTATTTATATAACAAATTGATATGCTAACTTAAATTCATTTCCATCCATTCATTAAAGTAAGTCACCTAAGGACATCTAACAGACAACAATATTCTGTTTTCCTACATTGAAGGAAAGGGTTAGGGAGAGAAGAAGGAAAGGGTTAGGGAGGGAAAAACAGAAGGAGAGAAAGAAGAGAAGGAAGGTAAGAAGGGAAGGGAGGAGGTGAAGAAGGAAGGAAGGGAAAAAAGAAGGAAGGAAGAAAAGGAGAGATATATTCACTATTCAAAAGCACAATGAACTATAATTATTTTTGGATTTTTTCCAATTATTTCTGTCAGAAAAGTTAAAAATAATAAAAAGTTATTATTCATAACAGATTTATCATATTTATAATAACATTGCATAATTACAAAGCTGATGAAAATATAAATGTGTTAATGTTTTGTAAATAACATGTAATTGTTTGCTTTTCCTATGAAAGTGTATAATAAATACTTGCTAAATTCACTATCAAATATTTTGTGAGCACCTGCTTTATACAAGGCATTCACTGAACTAGGTGTAGGTGAAAAAAATTTATAGCTGATGGTCCAGCCTGCCCATTTTCCAAATAAGGAAACTGAGTCCCAGAGAGATAAAGTCCCCTTTTCATAGTCAACATAGAGCTGGGACAAGGACCCAGGTCATTATACTATATTGGAATTTGAGTTTGTTAAATCTATGAGCTTCTCCAAATGTGATACTCCTCCTACACTCTTACAGAGCCAGAAGATTTTTCTAGAAATTCTTTCCGCTAATCTCACTTGCAACCACCTCTCTTCCTTTGAAGTTCATTTTATCTGATTATATCACTCAGTCCAGATCTTGTTGCTATCACCTACTGATCTCTCTGCTCCCTTAATGAGTTCAGCACTTGGTTCAATCTTCCATTCTACCATAGCCCTGCCTTTATCCTTATATATTTATGTTGATTATCCTGTAATCAACAAATAAATGAATATTTATTGAGTGTCAGACATGGGTTAAACTATTCTAAGCTCTGGGGATACAAAGAGAAATGTAATAAATTCAATGGTCTTCTCAGTCCATATTCTCCTTGACCTTTTTGGAATTGTCAGCACTGTTGACCACTACTCTTCTCTTGGTTACTGACTTGGTTCCAGGTAACACTACTCTCTTTATTTCCACTCCAATGAGTATTCCTTCTCAGTTTCCTTCACCGGTTCATCATCTTTATCTGTGGGAGTAACTCTTGTGGAAATGTGACCTAGCAAATTCATCTGCAGGTACTGGTCCCCCTCTCTCCAACTTCATCAGAAGCCACAGTTACTGAAGACCTGGAAAAGAAAGTTCTCACTACTAAAGGCCTTGTCACTTGTCACCTTGTCAAATGGTTCAATAACAGAAATCAGTATGGTTCTATTACTGGGAATGACATTAATGAAGATACATTATCATCTTCTTTGCTACTGTACTCCCTTCATCTGACTCAGAGAAAAAAGCTGCTAAATGTATAGTCTTCCCTTCTTAAGATATGAGCTCCATGAAAGTCATTTCAGTCTTGATTTTTTATTTCTAATCCTAGGGCTTAGTATGGTGCTTTGCATCCAGTAAACAATATTTTTTTCTTTTCATTCACATTCATTCTTTCTTTCATTCATTCATTCTTTCTACCAGGTAAAGTAGAAATCACAGAAGTCTATCATTCCCATGGATTCAATTATCCTCTACTTTCACATCTACACATCTGACCCAAATTTCATCACAGAACTTCAGTCCCACATCTCTGTCTTCTGAATTTCTTGCCTATACCTCAAATTCAATATATCCAGAAATGAACTGAACATTTTCCCTTCTCACCCGGCCCCTTCCCCTAATTTTGCTTTTTCTGTTGATGTTAGCATTCTGGTCATCCTAGCATGAAATCTTGAAGTCATATTTGGGTCTTTCCTCTTCTTCGACCCTGTCCATCCAATCAGGTGCCAAGTCCTGTTGATTCTGCCCTCATAATTATCTCTCACCTCCACCCCTTTCAGGGATTTCAGGTGGGGCTGATGCAGAGCTGAAGATTAGCAAGATATGAACAAAAGAAGCATAAGGAGACAAAGCATTTAAAAGTGAAGGACAGAGCTTTGATGAACTGGTTAACTTTGGGGTCAAGAATATGAAAGGAAGGGAATGAAGCCAGAACAAAGGTGACAGACTATAAGAATAGTCACTGAAATTGCCACCAGCCTGGTTCAGGCCCTTCTTACCTCTCAGCTAGACCACTACAGTATACCCTAACTGATCTCACTCGCTAACATTTCTCCTTCTCTCCAATCCATCCTCCATAAAAGTAAATCTTATTAAGACATAGATCAGACCCTATCACTCTTAAAAAAACCTTCAGTTATTCTTTGTTCCCATTAGGATAAAATACAAACTCATTAGCTTGGCACTTAAGCACCTTCACAATATGACTCTAATCTCCTCATTCATACATTCATCACTCCCCTTCGTGTCTTCTATGTGATGAATTAGACTACTAGCTGTTCCTTAAAATCCATACGCCATTTCTTGCCTCCTTGCATTTAGGTGGGGTCTTCCCCCACACTTGGATTGCTCCCACACAGTGTCTCAGCCTTTCAGAATTCTTCTCCTACAAGGCTAAGCTTAGGCAGCATCTTCTCCATGAAGCTTTCCCTCATTTCCCTTCTGGGGAAAATGTCTTCTCCCTCCTTACCTTTTCCTAAATAGGTAGTGTAGCTTTCTCTTTTGCCCCAACACATGCTAATGTGAATTTATTTATTTGTGTATGCATTTGTTCTATCTCCATAGAAGAATGCAAAAACCTTGAGTGCAGGGACTTTTTCATTCTTCCTCTTTGCATTATTAGCATCTAGCAAAATGTCTTGCACACTT